GCTCACTGGATGTTTTTTCTTTTTCGGACCATTCTCTGTAAACCCTAGAGATGGTTGTGCGTGAAAATCCCAGTAGATTAGCAGTTTCTGAAATACTCAGACCAGCCCTTCTGGCACCAACAATCATGCCACGTTCAAAGTCACTCAAATCAACTTTCTTCCCCATACTGATGCTCGGTTTGAACTGCAGGAGATTGTCTTGACCATGTCTACATGCCTAAATGCACTGAGTTGCCGCCATGTGATAGGCTGCTTAGAAATTAAGTGTTAACGAGCAGTTGGACAGGTGTACCTAATAAAGTGGCCGGTGAGTGTATACCTGTAATAATAGATTAGGAAAAATGTATAATAGTTGAAAGCGAAAAAGCAGAGGTATTAGCAAAAGCATTTGTAAAGATTCATAGTAATTGTAACATATCAGAGGATATGAGAAGGCAAAGAGAGCAAGCAATAAGAGATAATCCTAATATCATGGTCCAAAGAAGGCCCTCTGAAAGCACTTTGGATGAAGATTTTACTTTGTATGAACTCAAACAGGTATTGGTAGGTTTAAGAAATACATCTCCAGGAAAGGATGACATATGTAATGAGATGATAAAGAACTTATCAGATATATCGTTGAATATCATATTACATCTGTTCAATAAAGTATGGGAGGAAGGAAAACTTCCTTCTTCCTGGAAACATGGAGTAGTTGTTCCAATAGCTAAACCTGGGAAAGATCATTCCAGAGCAGTTAACTATAGACCAATCGCACTAACATCGAACTTATGTAAAGTAATGGAAAGAATGGTAATAGCTAGACTAAATTACACAATAGAGAATAAAAATCTTTTATGCCCATATCAAAGTGGATTTAGAAAGGGTCGCAATACAATGGATTCTATCATATGTCTAGAGTCAGAAATCAGAAAAGCATTTATAAATAAAGAAGTATTAGTTGGAGTGTTTTTTGACGTGGAAAAAGCATATATGTTGTGGAAGGAGGGATTATTAATTAAGTTGGATAAAATAGGTATTAATTGGATAATGGATTTCCTTTTCAAGCGTACAATACAGGTCAAGATCGGTTCAAGTTATTCAAAAATATACACAATAGATAACGGTACTCCTCAAGGTAGTGTTTGTAGCCCAATTTTGTTTAATGATTAATGACATATTTTCTCAAGTAGGACAAGGAATAGGAAAATCCCTATATGCAGATGATGGAGCCATGTGGAAAAGAGGACGGAATATTAAATTTATTGAAAAAAGCATGCAGAGAGCAGTAGAGGAGGTGGAAAAATGGGTAAACAACTGGGGTTTCAAATTGTCAGAAAAAACGCAAGTTATTTGTTTCTCAAAAAAGAAGAGTAGTCCACAAATAAAATTAAAACTATATGAACAAATCTTAGGACAAGTATCGGAAATTCGATATTTGGGGTTATTGTTGGATTCAAAACTTAAATTTGACAGTCATATAAAGAAAATAATAGATACATTTAAAAAAGGAATAAACGTTTTAAGATGTCTCGCAGGGGTAGATTGGGGTGCAAGTCAGCAATCATTAAAAATAATATATTGTGCAATGATTAGACCAGTAATAGATTACGGATGCATAGTATATAGCTCAGCATCAGCATCCAAGTTAAATAAAATAAATGTTATTCTGTCGAAAGCATTACGAATAAGTTGTGGGGCATTCAGAACATCCCCTATTCCAGCAATGCAGGTAGAAATGGCAGAAATGCCTCTGGATGTTAGGAGGTTACAGTTAAAAATGTCATATTGGAGTACACTAAAGGGACACGATGAGAATCACCCAGTGAAAAAGATTCTAGAAAAGTGCTGGGAGTATGGAAAAGGAGAAATAAATAGTTTTGGATGTGTTACGGTGTTATTCATTTTGTCATGTTTCTGGTTTGTGGTTTCTCTGTCTTTGGTCTTTTATTCAGTTTGTGCCTTGTTAATTGTAGTCTGTTATCCTAGTCATGTCATTATTAGGTCCCTTGTTTCAGGTGTGTTGTCTTGTTAGGTTGTATGGTCCCGCTCGTTGTTCTGATTTGCCCCAGCTGTGTCTTGTTCCCTGATCCCCTCTGTGTATTTATATCCTGTCTTCTCTTTTGTTCATGGTCAGTGATTGAATGTATGTTTGAATGTGCGTACCACGAGTGTCTGTTCTGAATCTGTATTAAAGTCTACTGCTGCGTTTAGATCCGACTTCAGCCTTTGCTTCCACGCAAATCGTAACAGGATGGAATGTAGAAAAAGAAGCCCAGAACATAGAAATAAATAATATAAATGTTAGTCCCACAGTGGTAATACCATCAATACCTCCATGGCTTTTCCCTAAACCCGATGTAGATCTAACATTGCAAGACAAGATGCAAACAAAGGAAATAATTTTAACAAAGGATATAGTTGTGAAGCAGCACCTAAGTCAAGAATATTACAATAGTATTCAAATATTTATGGATGGATCTAAAAATCCAGACACTGGACATACAGCAGCAGCAGTTTATATTCCCCATTTTAAATATAGCATTGAAAAGAGAATTACAGATCATGTTTCAGTATATACCACAGAAATGATTGGAATTTTAATGGCACTTCAATGGGTGGAAGACGTTCATCCTATGGATGTAGTGATTTGCTCAGACTCCTATTCAGCTTTAATGAGTATAAATAGTGGAAAGTCAGCGTCCAGGCAGGATATCTTGTATGAAGTGCTACCAAATCTGTACAGAATATACAGAATAGGAGTAAACATTTCATTTGTATGGGTTCCAGCACATGTGGGGGTAGAGGGTAATGAGGAGGTTGATCAGTTGGCAAAGAGATCTTTAAAACGCAATGTAATAGACATTAATGTATCACTGAGTAAAACTGAAGTTAAAGCAATAATAAAATATGCTCTAAACAAGATGTGGCAACATAAATGGGACAAGGAGACAAAAGGTAGACATTTGTATAAAATTCTAAATAAAGTTGGGGTTGAGAGAAATAAATACGGAAGCAGAATGGAAGACTCCATAATATCTAGGCTTCGAATATCATTCACTGTTTATATTAGGGAAAAGAGAATCTATGAATTGTGATAAATGTGTTTTGTCAGAAACAGTTGAACACGTGTTGATTCATTGCACAGAATACAACAGAGAAAGAATACATTTTACAGAATCATTAAGTTACATAGGTATTAATACATTGTCAGTAAAAAGCATATTTCAAAACGCACAGAAAGAGAAAAGGGTATATAGTGCTTTAATGAGGTGGGAAACAGGATTGGTTAACAGAATATATATATATTTTTTTATTACTCGATTAACGCTTCACACTCCTGTCCAGTTGGTGGCGGTAAATGCACCATTTAGCTGGTTTGCCAACCGCCAAAAAACTCCGAAAGAAGAAGAAGAACTGGTGAGTGCGAGTGGGCGTGGTTTCAGCTCAGCCAGTGGACACGCCCCCAGCGATTGAGAGCAGAGACTAGGCCTACTGCTCATTTTTTCAAGATTTTGAAAGCTTATTTATGTACTTGCCGACTTTTTTTTCATTCAAATTTGGCTGGGTGGCTAATAACACATGTTTCTGTGGTGTGACAAACTCAGAACACACACTTAATTTTGACTTTACAGGGACTTTAATATATCCTAGTCAACTGATTCGTTCAAAAAGCTGATTCGCTCAGTAAGGAAGCACCGCCGTGTGTGGCTTTGTTTTGAATTATTTTCGTTGGCGGAAATAGAGCAAAAACAGGCAATATGGTGTCTAAAATGTAAGTCACTTAACATTAACTTCTTGTTTATTAAACTTGTATAAAATCAATATCACATTTATCATGCTGATATTTAGAGAAAACTGCACTGTTGTGATTTTTATTACGCAGTGAAAGTGTGCACTCTAAATGCGCACCCGCACTAGTCTAATCTACAAGACTACATCACGTAGAGTATGCATGCACTCTCTCTGTGTGTGTTTGTGTGTGTGTGTGTGTGGGAGAGGGATAGGCGTCTGTTTTCTAGAGAGATAACATTTGCTTCTACAAACAAACTTTGTGTTGGAGATGCTCTAAACACCCCCAGTACCAGATGTACAGTTTCCTTCTTGAGCATCAGTGAATGTTTTCAGGTTTTATAATAGTTTGCATCCCTCAAATCCCACCAGTGTGAAAAAAATGGTTCTCAACAGAAGACTCAACATGATCCCATTTATTTTGTCATTAAACATCTTGCAAAATCTGCAGAGGTTATGCAATTAAGCCTCTCTCATATTCAACTTCATTATGAATATTTCCTATTATGAATATTGAAACATTTCCAATAAAATATTTTGATTTAGTATTTTATTAGAATTGTGCTACTTTCCACCACATTGAGATACAATGTGTTTTACCATTTATTGACATTTTAGTCTTGCTGTTTGAATCTCCCACATAAATAACAGTTTTCATTTACATTGTAAGCATTACAATTGGAGGCAAACTAACATTGTGTTCAAGTATTTGATAAATGTATGCACTTGCATCTATGTAAAATACATGCATGCATATACATTATGACGCTAAATTATATTTTAAGATTACGTTTTATACCAGATCATCATACGACCTTATATAACGAGACATATGGTGCTATGACTTTACAACTGATAAATGCATTTCTTTCGAATATAAGATTAGAGCTAATACAAAATATAAAAAGCTAAACACAAATAAAACATTTTTAAAAAGTAATTCCTGTCAAAATAAAGCAATCAGATACAAAACATGTACTTTCGGTTTCAGCGTCGGCTGGGCGTCAAGAACCTAGACTGTACATTTCTGTCGAATAACTAAAAAACAAGCCAATACTTTCGCCTTTATCGTCGGCTGAAGGAGAGATGTAACCTACAAGCCTGTCTAACAATGGTCAAATAAAAACACACTGCAAAATACAAACGTGAAAGCATTTCTGTCAAACTGCCTTTATAGCGATTAGAGTTCACAAAACAACGTCGGCAATAAGAGAGACTAAAAGTCTTACCATGATCGAGTAAACACCAGAGGAATATGGGCAACTAATGATGTGAACTAGTGAACCGAGGTGTCAGAGCTTAATTGGCTACGTTCCAGTCCACTTTTAGACACTCAAAGCCTAGACAGCTCCTTTTTCGCCAGCTCCTTATTTTCAGCCCGCTTTTCCAGAACATGCCCCACCATTGCAACTGTATGTGCCGACAAAGCATACTGGAGGTGTAATTTCTTTATTTTTTCAAAAGTTCTCAAAAAAATATGAAAAATTTTGAAAAAATAAAGTTATGACACCTCCAGTATGCTTTGTCGGCATATAAAGTTGCAATGGTGGGGCATGTTCTGGGTACCATATTTCAACAATAACACATCAGAAAATGTTGTAGCTAATGCAGGATTTCGTTTAATAATGGATTTATCTATACCTCTACTTTCTTGTTTTTTTGAGAACTTGTGAAATACTAAAGTTATGACACCTCCAGTATGCTTTGTCGGCACGTAAAGTTGCAATGGTGGGGCATGTTCTGGGTACCATATTTCAACAATAACACATCAGAAAATGTTGTAATGCAGGATTTCGTTTAATAATGAATTTATTTATACCTGTACATTCCTGTTTCTTTCATTATGTTTGCAACTGAGAATTAATGTTATGTCATTTCTGTTCTTTATTAGAAGTTATCCATTATAGAAGTTGTCACTTTTCTCCATACTTTTAAAAGACATTTAGTAAGAAATGGAACTTAAAGGGATAGTTCACCCAAAAATTAAAATTCTGTCAGTAATTACTCACCCTCATGTTTTTCCAACCCCGTAAGACTTTCGTTCATCTTCGGAACACAAATTAAGATATTTTTTATTAAATCTGAGAGCTGGATCACTCCTCCATAGGCTTCTAAGGGATTGAAACCTGACAGCCCCGAAAAGTCATTAAAGACATCGTTAAAATAGTCCAAATGGCTACAGTGGCTCAATCTTAAGTTTATCAAGCGACGAGAATCTAAAATAACGACTTTATTCAAGCTGTTGACGTAGTGTAACAGCGCAGCGCTTCTGTGTTATACGTCACACGTAGGCTCAGTGAGGAGTCACGTGCCGATTTGGGCGGGGTCTGAGCCGGTCGGCCATGATGGTAGGAGACGCTATCGGTTGCCAGGGGCAACGCCTTCAGAACTTCACTGAGGCGCGACTAAACATTCATCCAGAAATAGCGAAAGAGAGACAGCACAGCTTAGTTTTTGTTTACATTTTACATTTTACCGATACGCCGCAGTTTTTTTTGGAAGATATGGAGAAGGAAGAGAAATGAAAGGGGTTCTATCGGGAGAGAGTAAATAACAATGCTAGCCAGCTTAGAGAAACTGCTTGTCAATAAACTGACAGCAACAGCGAGCAAAGCCTGCTTTCAAAAGCAACACATTTCAGCACAGTTCACCTTTTATTTAACCCAAACGAACGAAATTAATACTCTGTTATTCAACTAGAGTTGTTTCATTTGTTATAGATATATCTGTACCGCGAAATGTTTTAAAAATACACTTTTTTTAATGACGTACGATTCGCATTGACAGGGGAATGTCCGAACTGTTCGCTTAACGTTGCACGGCAGGTGCAAATGCACGTATCTGATTCATATCAGATTTATTTCCACATATGAATGAGGCCTGAATGAAACATCAAGTATGACTGAACTCTCGCAGTTTAACGTTACAGGTTTGGGGGTTTCTAAGTCTTGCACCCGCAGCCGCAACAGACTTGTTCAGCTTCTAATCCTCTTGCATTGTGTAGGCAGTAACGTTAGTCACTGATACCATAAATAAACCAGGTAATTAACTTTGTCAGCGTATGTAAAAGGTGGTAGTGCTTTGGTCTTTCGTCCATTCTGTAGCAGGTCGTACGGGTCCATGTTGATGTCAAGTAGTTTCTCTAAATAACGCTGCTTTGTGTTGTTATTTAGTCTCTCCCGATAGAGCCCCTTTCCTTTTGCTTCCCCCTTCTTCATTTATTCCCAAGAAACTGTGCCTTATCGCAAAAATGCAAACAAATATCAAGCTGCTCTCTCTCTCTGTCGCTATTTATCTCGGTCTCACGGTCGAAGTAACCATGACAACGGATAGCGTATCCTTCCAAGATGGCGAATCCTTCCCACAATGCAACACGGAGTGATACGCGTGACGTCACCTTCTCATTCTCAATTGGCCGACGCTGGTCATGTGTGTGATGCGTGTGACGTTCAACCTGAAGCGTTGCGCAATAACATAGGTGAAATATCCAGGCCCAAAGAGAATACTTGAATAAAGTCGCTATTTTAGTTTGTTTTTTTTGCGCTCAAAAAGTATTCTCGTAGCTCGATAAACTTAAGATCTCGCCACTGTAGTCACTTGGACTATTTTAACGATTTCTTTAATCGTTAAAATAGATTAAAATAGATTAAAATAGATTAAAATAGAAACTTTGATTACTGACAGAATTTTCATTTTTGGGTGAACTATCCCTTTAAATACAGAATAAGCAGTCTTGTTAAATTTACCAGGTAGTGTAGCCTACACCATTTACAGAGGCAGACAAGATAATTTTTACAGGAGTACATATTTTCAAAATACTGCCCGATCAACAGGCTCATAATACAACTGTTCCTTTAAGAAATACGGCCAAAAGCACCGAGGGGGAGGGGTTAACAACCATCCAACATTTTTAAGGTGGAACGAATAGTATGACGAATAAGGAGCTGGCGAAAAAGGAGCTGGAGTCAGCCTCGTCACGCACGTGCGAATTTCCCTAAGTAGGCAGTGGGCCAAGTCCGTCTATCTCGTTTAGTTTTTGATTTGATAGTTACCCAGCAGCTGTGTGTGGCTCATTTTTTTATTTGTCTGTATGAATAATTCACAAAAAGATTACTGATTGTTTCCAACGCCAATTGTTGCACATTAAAGTATAAAAAATAGATTTAATTTCGCAAACGTTGGCCGGAGTGAGATCCAATCAACGCTTGTGTTGTTACCTTGTTGAATTGATTTGGCCAATCACGTTATTCGTTGAATCGGCGTCGCGTGACTCGCGTCAGTCTGAAGCCAACTCCAGTCACAAATCACAACCCAACCTGGAGAGACCGGTGTCTCGGCAAGACAACGTCAAGGTACTATTTGTTTTACAATGATTATACACCCCTATATCTTAATGCTTTTCATATAAGTTGTATTTAAGACTGCAAGCGGTGTCGTTGATGAGAACGAATCGGTTACCTAACGTAACCTCGGTTCTCTCTAGAAGAGGGAACGAGTATTGCGTAAGCTAGCTTACGCTGCTGCGGGAAAGATTCATCTTTGCTGAGATATTGAAGCCAAAAAATTATTTCATAATTTTGTATCCATACACAACGCAGTTCCTCTGCGGCAGACCTAGAGCGGGCTAGCTAGCAGCTCATTGGTTCGCTCAGAGAGAACTGCTTAAGCCTATGGGAGAGCGGGGCTGAACCCGCTTCCAATGAGAGGCGCCCGCGCGCTCATTGCGTCATGACCCGCCAGAATGGGCGTGGCCATGGTGTATATAAGGAGCTCTCCCAGGCTTATATGTTGATTTATTTCAGCGTGAAGCGAAACGCTAGTAGCGCAAGCACGGCCGGGAACGCAATACTCGTTCCCTCTTCTAGAGAGAACCGAGGTTACGTTAGGTAACCGATTCGTTCTCTTACGAGAGGTTCTCTCGTATTGCGTAAGCTAGCTTACGCTGCGGGAACACCTGGCCAACGCCGTGCGCGCTACGAATCCACTCATGAAAAACCCAGGGATATACCGGGGGAATTTTTTAACGTGGAGTGAATGTACAAAGAGGCCGCAGAGCGGGCTCATGAAGTGTACACATAAGCATGTATGGGGCCAGCAGAGCGGGCACATGAAGTGTATAAGCATTACAGGAGAGCACAAGGGGCGAACCGGTTGTGAGGGACCTCCAGAAATGCAGCTTCTTAGAGAGCTGTTCGTCAGACAGCTAGTAATTTTGCCTGCAAGGCGGGAACTTCCAAGTTATAAAACCTGACAAAAGTGGACGGGGAGGCCCATCCCGCGGCCACACAAATGTCATGAACGGAAATTCCACAGGACCATGCCCACGATGAGGCCATGCCTCTAGTGGAGTGCGCCCTGATGCCCAGAGGGCAGGGCAGGCATTTAGATGCGTAAGCAGAGGCGATAGCGTCCACTATCCATCTAGACAGTGTCTGTTTTGAGGCGGCCAGACCCTTGGTGCGCCCCCCAAACGACACGAAAAGGTGCTCAGCGCGTCTGAACGCGGCAGCGCGCGTAGTGTACAATCTCAGAGCCCGCACCGGACAAAGGAGATTGGCATCGCGCTCACTATCGGATGAAGGCAGAGCCGATAGGGAGATAATCTGAGCCCTGAACGGGGTACCAATCGCCTTCGGGACATAGCCATGCCTAGGTTTGAGAATGACAATCGAATCATTCGGTCCAAACTCAAGACACGCGGCGCTGGATGAGAGCGCGTGAAGATCCCCAACGCGTTTAACTGAGGACAGAGCCGTCAGGAAAACGGTTTTGAGCGAGAGGTATTTCAGATCCACAGACTCGAGCGGTTCGAACGGGGGTGCTTTCATAGCTTCAAGGACTATAGAAAGATCCCAAACCGGAACCGACGGGGGCCGCGGAGGGTTCATCCTCTTAGCTCCCCTGAGGAAGCGGATGACTAACTCGTCTTTGCCCAATGACTGAGCGCGTCGGGGTTCCGCGAACGCCGCGACGGCTGCCACATAAACCTTGAGAGTGGAGGGGGACCTGCCCTTGTCCAGCATCTCTTGAAGGAAAACAAGCAAAGACGGCACCTCGCACGACCGTGGGTCCAGCTGTTTGTCGGTGCACCATTTTGAGAACACAGACCATTTAGACGCATAGAGCCTTCTCGTGGAAGGTGCTCTAGCCTGTATGATAGTGTTTCTTACTCCCTCTGGCAAATCAACGAATAGTCGTTGATCACCCATGCATGTAGCGCCCAGCGCTGTGGATGGGGGTGCCAGATCGTGCCGCGAGCTTGA